CTCCGCATCGGGCTCGGGGCTGACAACACAGAGCCTGCTTGGGATTCTCACTTTCCCTTTCTCCCTGTCTCCCTTTCTCTCTCTCTCTCTCTCTCTCTCTCTCTCTCTCTCTCTCTCTCCTCTCACTCAAAATAAATACACTTAGAAAAATAAGAAACGACAGAGTCCCTAGCATTTCTAATAGCCATGGGTTTCTATTTTTCACATTTCAGAAAAAATTTATGGTCAATCCCGTAGGTATTAAGAAACTGATCCTGCCTAGGCAATTGTGGTGGAGCCTCACCACTGTAGAAACCATAGGATTTTTCCAGGTATCCAGTCAAGTAATGTTAGTCTCTCCTGACAACAGTGTTGACCTTGAATTAGTGCAAGTGCGCCAGTGGAGTTGAGGTGTTGCCTAACAATGGAAGGGAACAAGTTCAGGTGCAGGAGTCTTGAGAGACCACCTGTATCTGAAACACATTTCAGTTTGTTTCCTCAGGTTGCTGTGAAGAAAACAGAGTGAATGGAAAATGGTTCACACACCCTTGCTGCTAAGCAGGTAAGTGTTAAAGTGAGTCCTTCTATAATGAAGTCCTCTGAACTTCGTTATCTACGTAGGTGAGGATGATGTCCCTAACATTGGTGGTAATGTGTTTCTTTGTTGAAAATTCTGTGAGTGTCAGATTAAGATCTTTGCTAGTATGCAGGTATGAGATGATGAGATAGTAACTGATTAAAGACCTTTGTTTTATGGTGTTATTTTTAAGTAATTTCTACCCCCAACAGGGGACTCGAACTCACAACTCCAAGATCCACAGTCACGTGCTCCACAGACTGAGCCAGGTATGTGCTCCTAAAGACATTTCTAGATTGAGATACCCACATATTTGTGATTTCAAGTCCCTTACCTTTGCTTTGTTTTTGGCATGTATTCATTTAAGGGTTTAGTTTGTCCCTAACGATACTGGGAACAAAAGGATTTTTTTTGTGTTTCTGTTTAAAAATATGTACCTAACGTACAAGTGATAGACGGATTTGCAGATATCCAGGAAATTTATCATTTTGTCCTTCCGTACTTTATTGACCACGGAATTATTGCAATACACCTTGAAGAGAGGAAGATTTGTCTTCCTAGGGATTGACCTTGAAGTTTCGCAAGGATCCAAGGTCCTGAAATGATATAGTGACCAACGGAATTGGCAGGTGTAGAGGTACAGTGAGACACGCCCAAAATATTTTTAGCAATGTTTTTTTTTTCTTTCCAGACTCCTATCAATGAATCACCCTGAGCCCAGCAATGGTGGCTAACATGAGACATTGCTGATGTCACAGTAAGTGATGACGTGGTCCTAAGCCATGGCACCGACCATCTGGTTTTCAGAAAGCTAGGTGAGAGCTGGTGGTGTCCCTAACACTAGTTGTTACCGTGAATTCTCTGCAGGTATTCAGGTAGGAAATGACAGATTCCTTACTAATCCTTGAAACCATGAGTTTTTAGTGTTTAGAGAAAATTCTTTAATGAGGGATTGCACATATCAGACGTTTGTCATTATGTCTCAACCACACTAGTGATGGTGGAAATTTTGCAGGTGCTCCGTAAAAGTTGTATTACCTGACAATGGTCTTGACCTTGGAGTCCTGCAGCTCTTCGAGCAGAGGTAATGCTTCCGTAAGGATGGAAATGACCCAGTTTATTTATAGGTGCCCTGGTAGAATAAGCCGTGTCCTTTTACACATGTATCATAGTGTGTTTTTTCCCAAGTTTCCTGTCAGGAGATTATGATGAACCTCACATTGGTGATTCTCTGGGACATTTCTGTTCCCCAGATAAGTGGTGATGTTCACCTTCACTGTTTGAAACTATCTGATCTTCTCACATCTAGATCAGTGTTATTGTTGGACTGAACTTATTTCCCATGTGTGTTTTTTTTCCCCTAGGTCCTCAGGTAAGAAATCACAGCATTTTACCAGTTACAGCAATCATGCTATTCTACTGTTGTCTCTTTCTGGGGAAGTGTATATTTACGTATGTGTTGGGTGAATTCTGACGTGAATAGCCATAATGGTGGAGTTGTGTGGTACAGGAATACCCTTGGTGTTACTGAAGGTGAGCAGGGAAGAGGTGAAGGTGTGGCTATCTTTGGCATAGACCTTGAAGGACTGCAACAGTCCAGGAAGAGCTGAAGGGTCCTGCAGTGATGGCAATGAACAAGATCATATGCGGTGTCCTAGTAGGAGAGGAGCGTCCATAGACGCATTGTTCACAAAGTGTCTTTTAAATTACCCTCAAGAGGTCATGGTAAATTTCAAAATGGTCGTTGATGGGATTTTATTTCTATTCAGGTACATGATGCTGTGGGCCTTAAGCACCCTGTACGTTGATTTTTCAGGTATTTAGTAAGGGTAGATGGTGTTCCTAACTGTTCTGTTACCATGGGTCTATGCAGGTGTTCTGTTAAGACATGATACTGTCCCAACCAGTGCTGGTAAGTATGAGCCCTTATTTTTTTATGGTTTTCAATTTAGATATAATGAGAGTTTAAACTCAGTAGTGATAACGGAATATGAATTTCCAGGGAACTTCTCTGTTGCACATCAAGTACTGACCATGAGATTTATACCAGTACTCTTAGAAGAGATCTTAGTGTGTCTAACAATGGCGTTGACCTTCAGGTTCAGGCAAAATCCATCTTGTGTCATGTTTTCCCTAATGACGGAAGTGACCCAGAATATTCACAGGTACACTCTTTGTTTTTGCAGGTGAACAAGTTGTATCCTGCCACGGGCTTGTTGAGTATGTTTCTCAAGATTCTAGGAGTCCTGACATCACAGAGACCCAGACCGTGCTTGTCAGTGGGAACTTGCTGGTAACCAGGTATGTGATAAAGTGGGTGTTATCACATTACATGTATCTGATCCTCAGCTCTCGAGGTGAGTGAGGTTAGTGTCTCTAGCCCAGTGTACCGTGCTTTCTTGAAAGTTTCCTATGGTGTTCTTTGCTAGTTTAGCGGTAAGAGATGCTGTGGTATTAACTCATTAGGTACATTGACTTGAGAAAAAGTTTGTTTGACCCTGTGAGCGTTGAGGGATAACACATATGCAAATATTTACGACCGCGTCTTCCCCACAGTCCTCCCCATGGGCTTTCTGTTGGTGTCCAGTGAAGTGACGCTGAGTTTGTCTGACATCAGTGTTGATCCTTGATTACTGAAAGTACCAGGTGGAGTTTGTGTGCCTCTCATGACGGAGTACCCAGGCTATTTCCAGATACTGGCTAACACAAGTCGTTTCCTTTCACGTAGATTTCATAATGTCTTGACAGAAACCTGAAAAGACATCACTGTACGCCTGACATGGAAGGAGATGGCAGACGTGGCTGGTATGTCCGCAGGTAGGTGAGGATGTGGGCCTCAACCCCGGCACAGGCCGTCTGATCTCCAGATAGCTAGGTAAGTGACGATGGTGTCTCTTAGCGTTGGGACCCTGATTTCTTTGCAGGTATTCAGGTACGATTTGATAGTCCTTACTGATTCTAGAAACCATGAGTGTTTACCAGTTATATTTTAGAAAAGACTTTTGCTTAGCCTTGGGAGAGTTGGGAGATTGCCATATCCATGGAATTAACACATGCCCTCAACCACAGCCATCACCGTGAAAAGGTTGCAGGTGTCCTGTGAAGACATATTTCCTAACTGGTGATGATTTAGACCTTGGAGGACTGCAAGCATTCAGGTAGAGCCGATATGTCTCATGAGGAGAAAGTGACCAAGGTTATTGCAGGTGTCCTGGTAGAACAAGTTGTGTCCCTTTACACATGTGTTGTATTGTGTTTTTTAGGTGCCCGTCAACGAGTTCAATGCACCTGACAAGGCTCATCAAGGTGGGGACATTTCTGGCCTTCAGGTATATGCTGAGGTGTACCTTCACTGTATCAGACCCTCTGATCTTCATGCATCTATTTGTGCTCAGTTTTGTTAATTGCTTGAACTTGTTTACCATGTGGGTTATTTGAAGCATTCTGGGAGAAATGATAGTATTTTTACCAAGTCTAGCAAACATATTATCCCACCATTTGATGTTTTAGTGGAAATTTACATTTAACCATGTGAATATTTAGTGATTCATGGCTATTCATGTAGTAATCATGGAGTTGCGGGTCACACGCGTTACCATGGTATTTTGGTAGGTGAGCGATGAAGACATAATGGCGTCTGACAGTGGCCTAGACCTTGGCATACTGCAAGACCCCAGGTGGGTTTGATGGGTCCTACAGTGATGGCAGCGTACACAGATACTTCCCGTGTCCTGGTACAGGGGGTCATACATGGACCCATTTATCATACGTGGTTTTCACTCGATCTTAGCCAAGACGCTGAGGAGTGATGTCACAATGTGTTTTTCCCGGTCCTGTCCAGAAATCACAGTGAGCCTCATACTGACCAGACCTAGGACTGTGCCTTTCCAGGTGAGTGATAACGCGGGCCTTCACCCTGGAAACAACCTAGCCATCTGATAAGTGGATAAGTGTGGATGGATTTCCCAAGTTGTTGTTAGTATGCTTTTGTCTTTGTTTTTGTTTTAACATGTATTGGGGTAAGAAATTATACGGTCCCCACAAATGGTAGGATGCATGTTAGTAAGTATTTTAAAGTTTATTTGTTTTTTTTAAAGTTGAGATAGAATGTGTGTTTAGCCCTAGTGGTGACAGAGGGATACACAGGTGTGCAAGTCCCTTATCCTACGGGGCCACAGCACAGTCATGAGCCTGAAATTTTATAGGTACTCAGGAGATGATGGTTTCTCTAACAATGGAGTTGACCTTGAAGTTCTAGTTCCACCAAGGTCCAAAGTGTTGATGATTCCTCTAATGATGGAAATATCTTACATGTCAGTTGTGTTTTTTCAGGTCATGGTAGTCAGTCATGTTACAGTGACCCTGGTTATGCTCTTTCATGGGACCCTGCTAGTCACCTGGTAAGTGGTATTGTGGATGTGACAGTGTAGTTGAGATCACCTGTTCTTGAGATGTGTAGGTAAGTGAGGAGGGTGTCCCAAACACTAACCACAGGGTTACTATGTTCTCTCTGCAGATATCTTGTTAAAGTCTTTGTGTTGCACACATATGAGATGATGTCACATTAACTCATTAGACCTCCCTATTTTCAGATGTGTATGTAATTAATGACGTTTTGAATGCTCTTACATTACACGTGCTTTTGGCTTATATGCAGTAGTTTAATTTGTAAACACCGTATTCTTGCAGGAGTCCTGATAAAACATGATGGTCTCTGTGATAAAAGTGTCGACCCAAATTAAAGGAATCCTCAAAGTAGAGTTGACGTGTTCCATAATAATGGAAGTAAAAAGGATTATTAGCAGGTGTTCTGGTAGAACAGTTTATACTTAAACAGACTCTTTCAATGTGTTTGTTCAGGTTCTTGTCGAGAAAACCCAGTGAACCTCACGGTATTCACTGAAGGAAGCTTGCTCTTAACCTGGTAAGGGATGAAGTGGGTTCCACCACCATCCAGACCACATGATCTTCCATAGGAAGGTGGGTGAGGTTGATGTCCCTGACATTTGTGGTACCATGTTTGTTTGCAGCTATCCCGTTAAGGCCTTTGCTACTATGCAGGTATGAGATGATGTGACATTGACTTAGACATTATTTTCAGAGCGCTGTGTGACTAATGATATTATTCAGGCTCTTACATAACTTAGCGTTAGACATGTAGGCGGTTAAGACATCCCGTTGTCCCTAACAATCACAGTATGCATGAGAATTTCATCGTTGAGAGAGATTGTGTTTTGGACTGATAGGGAATCGTTTAGAGAGAATTTGTTTCAGACATCGAGGGAATTCATCCTACTGTTCATTGCTTTGTTACTAACAATGGGAATTTTCCAGGTATTCTTCAAGAGAAGAAGGTGGCTCCTACTGCGGGCTGACCTCCGAGTTTTGCAAGTATTCAGGTATGGTTGACGGTGCTGAAATGATACAAATGACCAAGGGCATTTGGAGGTCTAGAGGTAGAATGATTCCTGAACCAAAGACATTTTTCACAATGCCTTTTTCAGATTCATGTCAAGACCTCACCGCGAGCTTCCCAATGATAACATGGGACATTGCTGTTACCAAGGTAAGTGTTGTGGGCCTTAACCATAGCACAGATCATCTGATATTCACATACAGAGGTAAGAGGTGATGAGTATCTCTAATGCTTCTTGTTAACACACTTCTTACAAGGATTCAATTAATGAAGGACACATTCCAACCAATTCTGGGAACCATTGTTTTTCACACTTTATATTGAAGCGAAAAATTATGTTTACCTCTGTGAGTGTTGAGGGATTGTGTGTATCCAAACAACTGTCGTGATGTTCTGTCCCAATAAGTAACCATGGGATTGTTACAAGGGTCCCGTTATTAAGTGATGGTGTTCTCTGACCGTGGTGTTGACCTTGAATTAATCCAAGGATCCAGGTAGATTTAGAGAGGTTCAGCTTAAAAAAAACAAAGCTCTATCCCTTAATACATACTTCACAAAATGTTTTTAGGTTCTTGTCAAGAGACCATGATGAACCAGAAGTCATTAACAGGGGGGACATCTCTGGCGTGCAGGTAAGTGAGGACAGGCACATCACAGACCCTCCGATCTTTCTATATCTGGGTGAATGATGCTGGATTGTCGAAACCTGTTGTACCGTGTGAGTTCCTAGCACGTGTTCAGGTAAGCACGCAATCATAATATGTTGCCATTTGTAACAGTCATGTTATCCTGCTGTCCAGTTGCACAGAAAACGAACGTGTAACGATGTGAGTATGGAGTTATGTGCATTTATGCAGGTAATTGCCCTGGAATTATGCTTCACCATTGTAACCATGGTATTTTAGAGAAGTGTAGTCAGGAGATGATGAGGCTAAATGTGGCTAACCCTTGAATATTGCAGACAGCCAGGGAAGTTGACGGATCCTGCCGTGATGGAAGTGAAGGAGGTTATTTGTAGGTTATTTGTCCATTTGGAAGATGTGTGTCCGTAGATAAACAATTGTGCCAATGTGTTTTTCAGGTTCCACTCATGAGATCATAGTGAACCTCCTCCTCTTCATTACCAGAGACTTTGCATGGATCACAGGAAGTCATGGTATGAGCCATAGGCAGCTTAAAGATCAGGTGATCTTCAGATACTGAGGCAAATGAGGATGCTGTTCCTAACCTTTGTCTTACTATTTTTGATAGGCATTCAGGTAAGAAACGGTCTCGTTCCTACTGATGCTAGTAAGCAGTAGCCTTTGGTAGTTGAGAGTTTAGATGTAATGTATGTTTATACGTAGAAGGGACTGAGGGATAAACAGGTGTCCACGTTATCCCACTATTCGATACCAAACACTACGGACCAGGAGATTTCTCCAGAAGAAACGATGGTGTCTCTAACAGTGTCAACTTTGAATTCTGCCAAGATCGAGGTAGTGTTGAAGCTTCCCCATTAACGGAGGTGACCAAGATTAATAGCAGGAGTTGTGGCAGCACACGTTGTTTTCTTTCTTTCTTTCTTTTTTTGGAAAAAGGTTGTGTTCTTAAACACAATCATTGCACGTGTTTCCTCAGGTCCCAGGCACGAACTCACAGCAAGTGTAACAACGGTCATTATTGGGACAATGTTTGTAAGCAAGTGAGCGAGCATGTAGGTCTTTCTATGATGTAGACTATCTCATCTCCAGTATCTAGGTTAGGATGTGTCCCCAGCACATGCGTTCTGCTTTGGTACGTATCCCGTTAAGGTCTTTGCTAAGAGAGGTGTGATGTGATCGGACAGACACTCACTACAGACTTTTTGTTCTTTTCGGACACCTAGGTAATTAACGTTCCCAAGAGCCTTCCAAAAATGTCGTCTGGGGGCCCATAGACAGTTAAGCATTTGATGTGAAGTGAGCATTTCTGGTAAGCATGAGTATTCACTATCTTCTTGTAGAGGTAATGTATTTTTATACTCCTAGTGGTAACAGATACGCAGGTAACCATGGAAATTTTGCAGATGTCCCTTTAAGAATGGAAGGAACCCTTACTAGGGAGTAACCTCTGATTTAGGCAGTTATTCAGGTGAACTTGATGAGTTACAAAATGATACACCTGACCAAGAGAATTTTTGGTGGGTGTCCATGTAATGTGTCCTGAACACTTCGCATATTTTTCAGGGTCCTCTTTTTTTTTTTTTTCTTTTCAACGTTTTTTATTTATTTTTGGGACAGAGAGAGACAGACCATGAACGGGGAAGGGGCAGAGAGAGAGGGAGACACAGAATCGGAGACAGGCTCCAGGCTCTGAGCCATCAGCCCAGAGCCCGACGCGGGGCTCGAACTCCCGGACCGCGAGATCGTGACCTGGCTGAAGTCGGACGCTTAACTGACTGCGCCACCCAGGCGCCCCTTCAGGGTCCTCTTAAGACCTTGACCATGCCCCTGTCAGCGGTATTTAACGTGGCGTAAAGGGGGTAAGCGATCTGGGCCTAAACCACAAGCACAGACCATCCGATCTTCCCACATCTAGGTGAGTGATGTTGATGCTCTTAATACTTCCTGTTACCCTGACCTTGTTGCAGGTATTCGGGTAAGAAATGACAGAGTCTGGGGCGCCTGGGTGGCTCAGTCAGGTCAGCGTCCCCTCTTGGTCTCAGCTCAGGTCATGATCTCACGATTTAGGAGATTGAACCCCACATCAGGCTCTGTGCTGACAGTGCAGAGCCTGCCTGGAATTCTCTCTTGCTCTTTGCCTCTTTCTATCTGCGTCTCTCTCTCTCTCTCTCTCTCTCTCTCAAAAAATAAAACGAAAAACAACCAAGAAAAAACAGAGTCCTTACGAATGCTAATAACCATCAGTTTCTACTTTGCACACTTTGGAAAGAATATGTGCTTAATCCCGTAGGAATTGAGAAGTTGATCCTGTCTAGGCAGTTGTGGTGGAGCCTCACCACTGTAGAAACCATAGGATTTTTCCAGGTTTCCAGTCAAGTAATGTTAGTCTCTGCTGACCATAGTGTTGACCTTGAATTAGTGCAAGTGCGCCAGTGGAGTTGAGGTGTTGCCTAACGATGGAAGGGAACATGTTCATGTTCAAGTGAGGAAGATGTGCCCAACATTGGCGTTAATGTGTTTCTCTTTTGAAAACTTTGAGTATCAGATTAAAATCTTTGCTAGTGTGCACGTATGAGGTGATGTGGTATTAACTGATTAAAAACCTTTGTTTTACGGTTTTATTTTTCAGTAATTTCCACCCCCAGCATGGAGCTCGAGTTCACAAGTCTAAGATCAAGAGTCCCGTGCTCAACCGACTGAGCCAGGCAGGTGTCCCTGAAGACACTTCTATATTGAGATATATACATGATTTATGATCTCAAGCCTCTTATGTTTATTTGGATTTGGGCATGTATTCAGCTAAGACTTTATTTGTCCCTAATGATGTTCATAGCAATATGATTTTTTTGTATTCCTGTTTAAAAATATGTACTTAACATGCTAGTGGTAGACGGATTTGCAGATATCCAGCAAATTTAACATATTGTCCTGCAGTACTTTATTGACGATGGAATCATTATAAGTAATGTGAAGAGAGGAAGGTGTGTCTTCCTAAGGATGGACCTTGGAGTTCTCCAAGTATCCGCGTAGTGTTGATGGGTCCTGAAATGATACAGCGACCAAGGGATTTGCAGGTGTAGACTTAGAATGAGATGTACACCAAAAATATTTTCTACGCTGGTATTTTTTGTGGTTTTTTTTTTTTTTTTTTTTTTTGAGACTGGTGTCAATGAATCACAGTGACCCCGGCAATGATAGGTAACAGAGACATTGCTGATGTCACAGTAGAGATGATGTAGGCCTAAGCCACAGCACTGACCATCTGCTCTTCAGAAAGCTAGGTAAGTGCTGATGGTGTCCCTAAGAGAGAGAGAGAGAGAGACAGTTTATGAGTTTTAGCTTGTGGGGGCGGGGAGGAGAGAGAGAGAGGGGAAGAGAGTGCTCTCGCTAGGAGAAAGA